CTTCGACTATTCTGTGGCTGGGAGCGAACCTGCATCTTTAGTAGACCGGACTGATGTGTTATCCATTACATAGTGTTGTACCCCGAAGGCTCGAAGGGGGCGAGGGGGGTTAGCGATAGATATGATAGAAAAATTCACGAAAATTACCATCGCAACATCTTTCTGCTTCATAAAATGACAATATTCCTTTTATATCTGAAAATATTGGCATAAGAATTTTTTGAAAATTTTTATTTTTAATAAATTTATAGGCTCTATTAAACAATATACATCCAATCGCCATTTATAAGTCCGATCAAAGTTTATACGTCTAATCAAGAAAAATTTGGATTATCTTTTACAAATTTTTCTTCTGGTTCTAAAACAGTTCTTCATGTTCAGGACCTACGCTGACTGGGTCTGGGACCATTCCTTACCCTATTTTTCGAAATTTCTGAAGGTTAGTATTGTTTTTACAAAGAAATTTAAGTAATTTCGAGGGATAGGATAAGATACGGTCCCAAACACAGTGGGCGTAGGTCCGAACATAGAGAACTGTTACAAAACCCTACCCTAACTTAAAAATACAAAGAAAAATCCAAATTTTTTTGATTGGACGAATGTATAAACTTTGATTATGTATAAACTTTGATTAAAGATCTCCACATTTCTGAATTATAATATTAATTTGAAATTACTGCCCACGTCACTTCTGCGAAATCACACAGCACCAAAACTAGCCTAGATATTTTAAATCTAGAAATGATTAAAGAATATTTATATTACAGGCAAAACTTCTTCAATCTGGAATGATTTTACAGAGCATGAGAATGATAAGGTTATATGTAAGAAATGCGCTACGAAATTGTCATCTAAATATTTGTCGAATTTAAAAAGTCATTTTAAACGTTGCAAAAAAGGTATGTTTTAGAAAAACGATAATCTAACTTTAATATTTGAATTAAATTAAATCTCGTATTTCCAAAATTAATATGAGCCCTGAATATATTTGTTTGTATAGGTAATTATTTTCGTTATTCATATAATTAACTTTTCCATAATATTTTTATCAGAAATAAAATTAAAATTTTATTGGTTAATTTTCAAAAGGTGAAGCGTCAAACGTTGATGAAGGAGATAATGAAGCTACTGATTGAGACAAAAGCGAAGATTATTTAGTTACCTATTGGTAAATACAAGAAACAAGACAAAAAATTTATGGACCAATAAATGTAAAAATTAGGTCTAAAAAATTTCAGAAAATGACAAAAAATATAAAAAATTAAAAACTCAAAAAAATTACGTGCAAACAAAAACAAAGATAAAATTTTTTTATCAAATATTCATTTTATTTTGTTATTTTTAGTTTACATTAGAGACCGGACCGATACTATATATCGAAAAAAATATCAATATATCGATGTCGATATTATCGATAAACGATACCGATATTATCAATCGATAAATTTTTAGATTTTTTCGATATTTTTCGAGATCGCTACCGATATTATCGATCGATCACTCAAGTCCGGTCTCTAGTTTACATCATTCAACTGAATGATTTCATGTTTAAAATTTATTTTAATTCGTTATTTATTCCTCGTGTTTTTTTTTGATTTTTTATTTCTCGTAAAGTTTTCTTCTTGGCTTTTTTAGAAATCGGTGATGAAAGGGTAATTAAAAATAAAAAGGGTAATTAAAAATAAAGAAAATGTCAAAAAACGAGATTTCAAAAAAAACTATTTTTAAAATATTATTTAACAATCTATGCACATATGTATGTATTTTAAAAATTTATAAATTTCCTTCAGTAAATCCAGCAGCCTTTTTCCTTTTCAACCCATTTATTTGTAATGTTAGTAAAACTGGTACAATAAATAGACCATGAATTGTGCCAATAATTCTAGTAAATTAAAAAATAATTTTTATTTTAAGAATTCTTAACTAGGGGTTGAACAAAGGATTTTTCAATTAGTTTCGGAAATCAGAGAGTATCCAAGCTTATTTATCTGTAAAAACAGTTATTTGGTCCAGTAAACTCGAAAAGAGTCCACCGCCGAAGATATCCTTCACGATATCTTCCAAATCTCCGGATATCCTAATAGTACACCAAACTCAGGATATCACAATAGTCCTCCAAATCTCCTGATAACCAGATATTTCCCTTAATCTATGACCGGATGATGGGTTATTTATTTTCGTATACATCTACTCTTTGTGCAAGTACGGACACACCAGATATTTTGTTCGAGATCCCTTTATATAAAATTAAATTACCCTAAAAATAAAACAGTTCTAGCAAACGAAGCAATAATTTCAATTGAGATAAAGAAAAGAGGGAAAATACAAATTATTGTTGAGATAACAGCCTTTAATTAAAATTATTTTTTTAATTAAAATCAAAATTCATACCTCAAGCATAGGCCTACCAACAACTTCAAGTATTTGTTCTATCCTTTTTTCAATTTCTTTTTGTTCAAAAATTTTAATATTTTTTATTGGAGAATCTGTTTGAATTTCTATTTGTTTTTCTTGCAAAATATCAAAATGATAACAAATATGAGCTGAGAAATCAACAGAAAGACCGATAGCCATTAATAAATTAATCATTGTAACCTTTAAAATTTTTTAAATTTTATTTGAAGTACATATTACTTATTTGGCATTTCAATCGTTCTTCGTACTGATCCATAATACGAGCAAAATATAAAAAGCCTTATTTTTCAAAATACCCCACTCGCGAAATATCAAGCATAGGTCTATAACACTCCAGGAAACCCTGTCTTAGGAACGGCACGGTGGCCTGAAAACCCTTATCATGGATCCAGCGGGGGTCCTGTAAATCCTGAATTGTATCCGGCACAATGGTCCGGAAAGCCCTTTCTTGGCTCTAGCCCGTTGTCAAATATAACTTAAAATATATCATTACAACTTCAATATTGAGATAAAAAATTAAATATTTACTGGGTCAATGTCTTGACCGCACCAACCGAGTGTGCCCAACAATGCTTCAAATTTTAAATAGGTATATTTGTAAATTTTTATAAAATTATTAACTATAAGAAATTGAAAGAACGGAAAAAGTAGCAATTCCTGTACATCGTAATGTGGGGATGACGAAAAAACAGATTAAAGCCATACATGTTAAAGTTACAAAAACTGCTTTCAGCATTTCGGACTAAAATTAGAAAATAAATGGGGAATAAATTATAAGATTATTTTCAATTATAATTGGGAGGATCAACGACTACACAAGGCTGAAATCTCGAATAAAAATCTCAATCATTCAGATTGAGATTTTTTTGAAATAATTCGTATGATTCCCTTACAACATTCCCAGTCCGATCCAATTAGAATTCATCGGTTAACATCCTTCATCAAGTCCCATCCCTTTTGCTATTTTCGTCCAAATTTTTTAACTTACGGATTTTTAATTTTGATAAAAATCTCTACAAAGTTCTAGTAGTATATCCTCAAATGATATTTGGTGGTATCTACGTTCAAATATTAAAGCTCGAATAATTACCCCTCTCAAATAATCACCCCCTATATCAAGGGTTGTAACAATGATAACACAGGCCATTCATTAGAGCCCGGTTACTTTTGTGTCACCCTGTACATTAGTAGGTCAATTAAGGAGATTCAATATACGCATACTGTTTTATTTTCAAATTAGCTAAAAAATTTAATAATTACCTTAACTCCCAAAATTAAATCATAAATAGTCGAATCATAATCAAAGACAGAAACATTAAATTTTGGAAATTGATCAACAATATTTCTTATTTTATCAACAAAAAATGCTCTTTCAAGCCAATTCAAATCTCCTTTAATAATTTAAAAAAGCTAAAATTCAAAAATAATTTTACTAACCCCCACGGGAAATTCCAAAAACAAAACTATCAACATATATATTTCCTCTTTAAATAAATTTTTTTGATAAAAAAATAAGATTAAACTAACAATCCAAAATCTCTAAATTGTACAATTCTCTTATCATCCATTCTTCTCTCTTTTAAAAATTGAGGAACCAAGGAATAGTTTGGTTGGTAATTAATCGAATTGTTCAAATTTATCTTGGTTTTGTGATACTGAAAATAGCTTTTGTTAAGAGGATCAAATATTAAACGGGCCAAATAAAAAGTTCACACTACTTCATCCAATTCCTTCTATAAATAAAATACACCCTCTCTCTCATTCATCTCCCCTCCCTCTATCTCTCGCTGCTTATCTTCCCCTCACTCACTTCTGCTTCCACACTTTACTAACACCGTATCTCTCTCACACTCCCTTCCTGCATCCCTCCACCCCCCCCCCCCCCCCCCAACACACTATCCCTCCTTAAATGCCTCTCTACTCCTTATTTCCCCTCTCCTTCCTTATCCCTCACTTACTTCCAAATAGCCATTAAGCCATATTTGAACATGCAAAGTATTTGGCAAATCTTGTATACTATTAATCATTTTGTTAAAATTGTTTAATTCAACAGGATCAGAAATATTTGGTGGGTGAAAGACAAAAAAAGAAATTGGGGAATGCTTTAAAAAATAAAAAAAGATATTACTTAAACTTATATTTTTACATATTTCATGATTCTATTAAATATTTTTATTGTATCCTGAAGTGGAGAATCGCCAGGAAATGTTCTTTCTGGAATAAAACTGGTCTCCATTTGATTAATTCCAAAATAAGCTAAAATATATGAAAAGAAGAGTAGCACAAATACAGATATTTTAGCTCGAAATGAAACGAGAAATTTTGAATAAAAACGTAGAAATGATGAAGAAAATGAGGATGATCTGAAGATTAATAATTATTATATATTTTTTATTTTTTCGACACAAATTTTATTTTTTAACTTTTTGGAATTCAAATTCTAAAAGTCAAATTTGTGGATGATAGATAACCTGTTATATTAACACAGCGACGCAAAATATAGCCAATTTCTTTCAAAAAATTTTTTATGGCAATGATTCGAATTTATCGAAATGTCGAATCACCACCTTTAGTGGGTTGGATGGGACAAGTTTGGGTATATTGGGAGTTGTTTAGTAGGGGAACGATCCTTAGAACTCTCCAATGAAACTTTTTTTAGCTCTCAACAATCCCTTTATTCTATTTTTGCTTTATTTGCTGAACTGGAAGGAAACCTCACCGTCTTAAATTATGGTGTCTCTAAAACCCTATGATAAATTCATGAATTGTCTTGTATTTCATGAAAAGCATGATGATAAATATTTTTATAAAATTTCAGTGCAATATCTTTTAGATAAAGTAAAAAATTACTTTTACCTTTCCTTTTTTAATTTTATTATTCCAAATAGAGGCCTATTTTCTCTTTTTAATGAATTCTCGTTTTCTTCAACTTTCCATTTAATAAAAGGAAGACAAGGTGCAAATATTAAAAATTCAAATAAAAAATCCAAAAATATAGCAATTGAAGTACACAAGCAAAAATTGGACATTAAAGATGATGGAGAGAAAATACCAACTCCAAAAGCAATTCCATTAGTTAATGAAGTTATTGCTATTGAAGAACCCATTTCTCCAAAAACATTCGCCATTCTTTGAGCAAAAAATATATCTTTTTAAAAATTATTTTGAAATTAATTAAATGTCTTAGTTTTTAAGTACGGAATTATAAAGCTAAAAGTAATGCTCAATGAATTATCATCCTCTAATGTGAATTTAATTTTTTAATTTTAATCATCCAACAGAAGGAATTCTATTAGAAGTGGTGGCACATTCTGTTAGGAGGGCATTTAATTGGTTGCGGGGGAGGAGGGGATATTTTAGAAAGCTCCGTTGGGATCATCTTTCAAAGTGGCATTATATGAGAAAAGTTCATTATATTCTAGGATGTTATTGTATTAAATACTTCAATAGATCGAAATTTTCGAGTCCGGATCGTGTTTCCGCTTCCAAGCCAACCCTTTTATATGTATTCTAACTGTCTTGCTTTTTAATAAATCCATTAAATTTTTACCTATTTTTTGATTATTTTCTTTATTTTCGTTTAATTCCTTTTGTTCAATCAAAGCCCATTTTCTCCAAGAATGTATTAATAAAAAAGCATTATCCACTCCAATACCAAAAACAAGAAATGGCATTATGGGCATGATTGAATTAAATTTAATTCCAATCCATCCAATAATTGAAAAAGCAACAGAAATGGATAAAAGAGGTGAAAGTAATGAAGAAGTAATTAAAATAAACTTAAATGAATAAAAAAATTTTTTTTTGATATCCTAACTCCGCCTCAGATCGGAGCGGCTCAGGATCAGGCTCTTGTCTCAACGCAAGCTCAGGAGCCTGCAGAATTATCACCAGAATTATTTATCACCTATGTGCAGAATTATCACCTACAGCTAATGGAAAATATTATTCAGAATGGAATAATTCACATAATAATAACTAAATAACATTTATAAATCAGTATTTTTGATGAATCAATAGATTAAAGGAGATAACTTGGGATTACCAGGGATTAAGGGGATTTAAGATAACATGAGATTTAGGGATTAAGTATTTTCAAATCGTGAGGTTTAAAGTATATTGGTGATTAAGGTGAGAGTTAAATTCCCAGACATCACTATTCTCAGATATTATCCCGTTAATCCACACATATTCCACCCACCAGGTATCCCCCCAAATCCAAATATATCTCTCCAAGTCCCCAGATATCGCTATTAATCACCAGATATTATCCACGTATAAGATATTATTCACAACGATACCTCTCTCACCCTATTTCAGCTCTGATCCCCGATATCCCTTCAAATCACTTTATATCCCCTTCAATCCCTCGATATCCATACAAATCCTCATATATCCCTTTTAATTTCCATATATCTCTCTCGATCCCCTGATATCCCAACTAATCCCCAAAATCACTCAAAATTCCCCGATATCCTCCATATACCTGTATATTCCTTGAGTACTGGGAAAAATTCTTAATTTTTAAGACGCTAAAGGAGGGGACTTTAGCGCCGCAGGCAAAATTTTAAAAAATACGATGCTAAATTAACAATTTTTCACTATTTTCTAACCAAAAAACTGAATTTCTGGGTAAATCAAATAATTTTCAAATTATTTGATATTTGATCAAATATTTGACTTTTTTTGACCTCATCAAACAAATATCAAATCAAATTATTTGATATTTGAAAATATTTGAAAAAATCAAATTTTTCCAAAAACTCATCAAACAAATATTTGATCTGGTCCGATCTCTACTACATAGGTGCTCCACAATTTCTACCTTGCACATTTATCTTTTAGGAATACAAGAAATATTGAGGCTTATCATCACCAACAGTATGATTAATTTTCCCAATTAATTTCCCAATTAATTACTCTTGAAACAATAATTAATTGTTTTAATAAAAAAATCACTTGTGATTTCCAATTAAAATGCCAAAAAGCCACGATCAAAAATAAAATCATCGCAACCACCCCAATGCCCAACAAACTTGTAATTTTCTTAGCACCCCTCATCATTTCATAATTAGCTAATTGATCAGTATAAATTAAAACTTTGAAAGTTAAATTATTCAAATCCCCATTATTTATATTATCAAACAATTTTAATTCCAAATTATTTAATATTTCCATTTGATTTTTATTTTTATTGTTACCATCAAGTAAATAACTTTAAATTAAGTAATTAACTAAAAATATTTTTAAAATTTTTTACTAAATTCCAATAGTTTCCACAGATTCTATTTTTGAAGGAAACTTCACTGAATTGTTTCCTTGCCTTAATTTAACACCAAAAAAATGAGAATCCAAAGGAACCTCAAAACCATAAATTTGAGATATTGGAAAGTCCAAATTAATTTGTTTATTTAATTTTGATGTTAATAAAAGCGATGTACTTTGTAATTGATATGCCCATTTAAATGCGTGAAAAAGATAATTCATATCACCTTTGCTGGTCTAATAATTAAATACAATAATTTAGTTAATTATTTAGCTCGTATAAATATCACGAGTAATTAGTGTTTCACCCTCTCAACGGGGGGAGGGGGAAATGTGGAGGAAGCGGTATCCGAGGAAATATCGCATCTGAGAGCACCCTAGCTATAACTATTCTTAAGTGGCTATAGTTTAACCTCACGCTGGGTAGGGGTAATTATTTTAGTGGTCCTCTTTTTGGAGAGGGGATTTATTTAAGCATATAAATTATTGAAAAAACCTCAAAATCCTTTAAGCGAACAACTCTTTGACTATTATTATTTCCTTCAGAAAGCCCCTCAAAATTAATTTCCAAAGAAAATTCTTTTATATAACGATCTAAAATCTCCACATCTGAAAGCAATTTATCATTCATAATCAAGCGTTTGTCTGAAGTTTTTGGTTCCAAAAAGTTCAAAACAAGATCTACTCCGTCTATAGAGACATTATAAAATTCAGCAAATGCCTGCAAATAAAAAATTTTTTTATTTTACATTTTTTAATTTTAATAAGTATATGGGTTTTCAGAAAATGTGAAGAAGATCGGCCCAATATTGAAATACAAAAAAAGATGTTTTGGACTATGATTAGTTCAAATGACTTAACTCGGGCCTATTTTAGTCAGACAAGAACCAGAGAGGTTGACGGTCCCTGGGGAATCTCCGGATGGTACTCTTGGATATCCCATCTCAGCCTTATTATGAGTCTCAGTTATACTTTCATTCTTCATTAATGTTCCAGACTTTTATTTTCACTTGTTAATAATGATATACATGAAGATGGAAATATAAATGAATTCAAATTAGGAGGGGTACGAGGTATTAAAAGTAACCACTGAATATTCAACAGATTCCCATAATCAAGCTCTGATTTCGGATATCCGACACCGTCACTCTAGAAAATGGAAAAGGTCTATGTACTCCAAGTAAAGGTATACTCTAAATTGAGAAAAATTTTAAATTATAATTTCTACCTTTGTTTCACTTGTTGCCCTTCCATTTTTAGGGGAAAACCCTCTCCTTACATCAGTTTCTACTTTAATGTCATTAAGTAAATAATAAGATAATGATGGAAGGAATAAAAATAAATTTGTTAAAAAAACAGTTTTGGGTCTTTTGCCAACTATGAAACCAATTTTTCGAAATAAAGATGATAAACTCATAAACAAGCTAAAAAATAAATTATTTATTTATTAAAATAAATAATAAATATTTATTTATTTTTTATTAACTTTAATTAATTTTTTAAAATCTTGTTCCAAATTATAAATATGATTAATTATTTAGATGAAATTACATTTACATTGTTTAATAAAATATTTTTAACTAATTAATTTTTAAAGGCGATTAAAAAATAATTTAAAAAGGAAGTTTAAGAAAAATAATATTATTCAGTAAAAATTATTAGGATTGGACACAATCAGTTATTAACCCTTACCATGATTTTTTGTTAATACAAATCTCAAAAACCGGGGTTTCTTTTTGAGTTTTAGTTTAGTATCCGTTTTATTCTGGGGGAATTTTTCAATTGCTCATTTCAAAAAATTTTTTTTTTGAAAATTTCATAAAAACGGCATATTTTTGGCAAGAAATATCAAAAATTTCGCTTCTTAAACAAATTAATAAATATAATTTTAAATCTTAAACAAGTCGTACCCCCTCCCAACAATTATGTATTTACTAATTAATTTTCAAATTATTAAAAAAACATGAAAAATCGGATGCTATAGCAATAGATTTTCATAAAATTGAATTTTGAAATTAAAGAAAATTAATAGATATAATTTTAAATGTCAAGAAAAGGTCAAAATTCATTAATTAATCGAATATTATAAGTTTATTAGTACGATTTGTTTAAGTGTTTAAATTATTAATTGTAGGTGTACACAAAAAATAAAAGTGCAGTTAATAAATTGTTATTTAAAATTTAAATAACTAATTTAAAATAGCCTCAAGAAGATCAATTTTTTATAAAATTAAAAGTTAATTTATCAATTGTTAGGCGAATGAATTAGTCAGAATGAAAATAAATTTTACTAAAAATAAGTTTATCTTCTTTGTTCTCTCCTGCAAAAAATGAAAACAAAAATTTAATTTTATCACGAACAACCAGTTTTTAAAAATGTAATAGAAAGTTGAAATTTTAAGAAACGGCGCAAAAAATTTATAAAATAATGAATAGGTATAATAAAGTATGAATAATAAATAATAAATGATTATTTACTTTTATTAATTAAATAATTACTGATACCTATATTTGTTTTTGTTATTCAATTATGAAGTTGGAATCACAACATTTTTACATAGTTGGGGCTTATGATTCGAACTTGACACCCTTTATTCTGAAATCATTGTTAGCTTAATTATATAAATTTTATGCTTTTTCGAGACTCTAAAATTTTAAAAAATGTGTATCACAATCTAAAATTCTAAATAATGATGGTCCAAGACCAACTAGAAATATTCCTGAAGAAAAAAATGCTTAGAACTCAATCAAAATATTGAAACCGAGATAAAAAAATTTTATTACGACATTTATTTTCATTTATTTCCGCTGAAATACATATATGTACTACTGAAATGATAGGAAGCTTTAAATTTTTCAAAATCTCTTGTTTTCAATTTACTAAACAAAAACAAAAAAGTTAAAAATCAATCATAGATTTTTAATTGGAACAGACAAGATAATACCTATTCCTGATATTTTTCAAACCCTCAAACAAAAATTCTTTGGCCCTTAATATTTGTTATATCGAGAGTTGACAATGATTATTAAATTTATTAATTAAATTAAATTTTTTAATAACATAAGTCGAGGAATGTTATTTTTTAATTTAAAAATATACAAGTTTTTAGGAAAGAAAAAATTTTTTTCTTATTTTTCTTAACATTTAAAATGGCCAAAAAGAAAAATAATTGTTTGAGGGAAATTGCACTTTAATTGTAAACCCCATCGTTCTATCTCAAATTGCTCTCTCAATCTTTTAAATTGAACAAGTTTTGTTATACATATTTATTGTTTTTTATTAATTTTGGCGATATTTTTTTTTAATGAAAGTACGAAATTTTTATTAAAGAATGTTTTTAATTTTAGTAATTTTACGTAAATATTATTATTTTTTTATTATAAAATTTTTTTGAGAAGATTAAACATTAACTAAAGAACATTAAAATAAATTAAAAATACGTTAGAAAATTTTGTTCGAGATTAAAAATTAAAGAACGAATGAGTTTTAAAAATGAGGTTTCTGCGAGACATTATTAACTGATTCATAGGGAATATTTATTAGTTTAATAATTTTTAGATTGAGTGTATTTATAATAGGATAAACTTTTATACTCAAAAAAGTGGGTGGTAACTTGGAACTTAATTTATTAAATTTTAATTAATAGAAGACACGCACCCTATTGTTTTTAAATCAATGAATTCATCAAATCATTTAACAAAATTTTTATTAACATTATTCAATATTACCGTTATTCAATTTATTCAACTAATAAAAATTCTTACTTTTATTGAGTTTTCAAAAATATTAAATTTTTTTGAATAATGGGTTTTGCTTAAATGAAATTTTTTAGGAAGTAGTATATAAAAATATTCAATGAATTTTTAAAAAAAGTAAGGAATATTTTAAAAATTATTTTTTATTCATTTAATTCTTGAATTTCATCATCTTTCTCCTCCTCAATAATTGTATCAAGTTTATTTTTTAATGGATAAAACTTTTCATATTCCCTTATAAAATCCTCTTCTTCTTCTAACCAATCCTCTATCTTATCTAATTTTTCTTTTTTATTAAGAAATGGAAATATTTTGTTAAATAATTTAATAAAAGGTCCTTCTTTTCTATTCTTATCTATTTTTATTTTAAACTT